GCAGTCAAAACATGGAATTCAGAGAGTTCTGTGCATATAAGTGGGAAAAAGACCTATGTCTTTATTTTCACCTACCTCTAATTTAAATTGAGCATGCCTTTCAATTATGAACCTAGGCAAGAGACCACAGTAATATTATTGGTAAATGTGACAATGTCACCAATAAAGATTTTCATATTACATTTGTCTCACATTTCTCAAAGTATCATTTATGCTCACCATTACTTTGATATCACAGTAGTTATATCCATCACTATATACTGTTAGTTAATGCATTAATGAAGAAGCACATGTTATCAAATATATTTTCTAATTCAACACCGTATTTCAATATGACAAATTTCAATTATAATCCAGTGAATTTAACTTTATGCATTATTAAAAACACATATTATTCTTTAAAGGGAGCCACAGGCTATATCCAGCTGTCAAAGGGACCCAAGGTGTCAAAAGTTAGAGAATGCTTGTGCTAGATGTTTTCAAATGAAAATCCATGGGGACAGAAAGGGATTGACTGGGCTGACATGTTTGGTGTTTTCATATGTTATCTCACGGTGAGGGACAATAGAGGCTTCTGTGGTTGAAGCACTGAAGTGATGAAAGGCAGAAAGTGATGATCAGGTTGGGTATATTTGGGGATGGGGAGAAGTGAAGCAAGTTGGGCAGTTTCCATTTTTCAAAACCAAGAGGACATGGGGAAGCCACCATGGTCTGTGAGTAGGAGAGTACACACAGCAGTGGTGCCTAAGGCTATTGCTTCTGAAGACTGGAGGCAGACCAGCTAGAAGCTGGGGCATAGGGAAGAAAGGGAGCACAAGAGGGGATCCAGTAGAAGAGAGGAGAGAAAACTGGCAGGCAATGTGGGTCCCAAAAGACCTGAACTCAGTCTATAGCACTCTCCCTGCAGACCTATTCAGGGGCAGGCAATGCATGGCTGCAAGTCTGACTTTTAGAATGTTAGCCTCAGAGAAATGAGGTGATTGAGAAAAGGCCCAAGTTGAGAGAAAGATGCTATGTGAGGTTGCAGGGGGCCTGTTTTAAAGGTCCTGAGCCATCAGGAGTACAGAAGCAGGCTTTTTCCAGATCCTTCTCTTTCCTATTCCACTCTACCGCAAACCACCCCCAGCACCCAGTGCAGCAAGAAACCCGTAAGAGAAGCCAAGATAAAATAGCCCTGGGAAACCAGCCACATCCAAAAGGGTTCCTGCTACTAAGGTCAGACAGCCTTGATCTGTGGTTCTTTATATATTAATCCACAGCAGTGGTTCTCAAAGTCCAGTCCCCATTCCAGCAATATCTGCATTCAGCATTCAGCACTAGCAACAGATGGTAAATTGCCAGAAACATAAATTATTGGACCTCACCCTAGTTACATAGCTCCAAATGACTGTGTCAGCATTTCCATCTAGGTCTAATCCAGAAATGAGCAACTCTCTTGTTAGCTGTGGCTGAGGAAATGCCCTTACCTAGAGGGAAAAGAAATATTTTCCTTCATAAATTAGTCCACAATTCCAAAGGTTTTCCTCCAGGTACTTCTGCCTGATTGAGATTTGGACATATTTTCTAGCTATACTTCCTCAGGAAAAATTCATTTTTTGTGGGCAGTCCCTTCATGCAGGCCTCCCTCTGCTGCAAAGGGGCAGGGTTAGGAGAGAGTGAGGGTATGTGACAGGGTCGAAACTGAAAGATCCAACAGGACCCTCCTTAGAGAGGCTGGGTCCAGCAGAGCCCTGTCTGTGTAGTGCTGCTCTACTCTGAGGGATGCCCTCCAGATCTGGGGAATGAGAGCAGAACTCCTGGAGGAAAGAACAGTTGAGCTGGGTATAAAGCAGGGAGAAACCAGATTCTTAGAGATGAGTCCATACTGAAACTGACACTGGAGATGCAGTTGGGGCAAGACCTCTAGGGTAACTTTGGAGTAGTTACAGAATCCTGATGACCTGCTCCCTTTCCCTGTTTCAGCTCTCAGGGCTCTAATGTCAAGAGGTGGATCAAAATCAGAAGGTTTAGTAAGGGTGGAACAGGCCCGAATGTGGGGGCAATGACTGGTAGGGGTGATGCACTGAGAATTCGAGGGCCACTGAGCTCTCCTTACCTAACTTCAGCTTTCTGCCAAAGGAAGGAAAGACAAAGGCTAATTTCAGATGGAGGGAAGGAAGTGAGGGAAGTAGGAGAGACTGCCCCTCAGGCCACCAGAAGCCTTCCCCCTCTCCTGGGCCACCCACCCACTCACCAGCAAAAAAGGTAGGCCATTTCCTCTTTCTGATACTGCCTCCTTTAGGTCCTCCTGGGAATCCACTGGTGAGTCCATTTCTGCTTCTCTCACCTCACTGCCAACTTGCATGTGTGCTCCTCTATCCTCTGATACAATCTGTCTAAATCCCATTCTAAATCTCTAGTATTTACACAGGTCCAAATTCTATGGTGTTAGAAAACCCTGCTGTCCTTGTTATTTTCTTTTTCACTAAAAACAATTTGAAAACTCCAGAGGAAGACAAACCAATATTCCATAAGGCATTTCAGTCTGAGTGGATCACCCCATCTCTTGAGGCTCCTTTTCTTTTGAGAGCTTAGCTGGGTCCAGAAAAATGGAAAATTCTAGCCTTCCCTCTCTGGTGTGAAGTTGCTGTCAGTTAGTACCATGAGAGTGGCAGTGGCCTTCCCAGTCAGCTACATGGCCATTAGCTGACTTGGGGGCCAAGTTATCTGTGAACTGGAAACTTTAGTAGGATTCCTGCTAAGCTGCCATGAGTTTATGGTAAGAACTACTAACAAGTCAAATCAGCTCTCTTCTTACCTGGGGCAACTGAGTTTTGAAGATCATGTGTAGCTTGCTTAAGGTTACAAGCATAGCTAATAATAATGGAAAAGCATAAGAGCACTGCTCTCCTGTCTCCCAGACAAATGTTCCTGCAAGCATATCCTTTGAAGGAGACTCTCATTTGAACTTCTACAGGACAGTTATGGTAGTTCTCTCCAAAATCATGTTTGATCTGTGCTCACTCTGAAAATTCATAGATAATTGTATCTCTTTGATATCCCATAATCACTGACATCCATGTTGGGAAGATAACACTCCCAAGTCTTAGGGAACTGAATCTTAACCATGAGGGTTAGAAAGGAGGTGCATGAGTATCCCAAAGACATTAAATGTAACATTAAACATTCTTACTGAAGAACAGGAATATTGTTGGGATCGGATAGGAAGGCCCTGGAGAAAGCAGTTTTCATGGGGGTTGTGGCCCTGGATGCTAGATCTGTTAAAGGGAAGGGAAAATCTGGGCTATGAACGCCTGAAGGGCATACATTGCTTTACTCTGTTTCTCACAGCATAAATTAGCACAGTGGTACAGTTGAGGGGTCTACATATATTTGTTGAATGCATGCTTATATACATGAATTGCTTAGGAGGGATAATCTGGTGAACTGAGCTAACTATGAGAGAACTTTGAATGAGATGTGTTCTCTCTTCTCCTAAGTATCAGGTATTGTGCCACACGCTGATTTTAAGATGGGGAGTGAGAAATGGAGGTGTGAAAGATAAAGCTTGCCACAAAAATCCTTTACTTTATATACACTATGATTTAGTGTTTATAACAGGTTAGAATTACTTCCATTTTTTGTTTATCAGACTACGCAACTAGAGCTCAAAAGAAGTTAAGTGTTTTATCTGAGCTCACACAGCTAACAAGTGCCTGGGCTCTCCTATTTGAGCCTGAGGCCCTTGCTTATGCTTTCTCTCCCCACACTCCAGAATAACATTCCTTTGTCTGCTTAACTCACAGAGATCAGATGGGTCGCTGAGGGATTTATGCCAGTGAGTTGCTATCCCTGCAACTCCCCCACCCCACCCCAAAGAATCTCTTTTCTGCGGAGCTCAGGCCTGAAGCCAGGTCAGGCCAAAACCTCCATTCCAAGGGCTTTTTGTAGAATCTGTCCCTGTGGTTACCTCCAGTAGATTGCTTCAGGAAGAGATTTTTTCTGCTCGGGACAGGGGTGCCATTCATCACTGAAGGAGGGCAAAATCCGGGGCTGAGGGGCCACACATCGAGAGGGGAGGGGCCAGAGGCGGCCCCCTTGTGACCAACCCTGAGGAGAGGTCAGGAGAGAAGGCTGACTGAAGAGAACCTGGACAGCAGCAGCTGCTGACTTTCTGTATCATGGCCTCAAGCCCAAGGTAACCCAGACCTTTAAACAAACTTCAAGGTTGGGGGCGCTGAGGGGCTGGAGTGGTAAGAGGCAGGTAATTCGGTTATCTTGCATTGAAGATAGAGGCGGCGAACGCACGGTGGGCATGAGAAAGATCCCGAATTATCGGAGGAATCAAAGGGAATGAGGGTGCTGAAGCAAGAAATGAAGTAAACAAGCGCAAAAGAGCGTGAGAGGGCGCAAGTGCGTGACTGACAGAAAGACAGCGCGCTTGGAGGTAGGGGGAAAAGGTGGAATACACCCTAGCCCAGAAGCATAGGTAAGATGGGAAAAGGGACACGCTTTCTTCTACTGAGCCCATTTTCCATACGTGGCTCCGTTTCAGCCATTTTTAAGGTAAAATGTTGACCCGAGTGTTTTTTCAGGATACAAGGAAAGAACGTCAGAGAAAGCTGTACTAAAGTGAGGCTGCACAAGGCGCAGGAAAGGCAGAGGACGGCGCCATTTTTAGATTCCATCTCCTTCCACCCTAAAGCTCAGACTGTACTCCGCACACCTCCGCACCCGCCCCCCCATACAACTTTTCTTCCCTCCGTCCGCTTCCCACCGCCCCCGCGTGATACGATCGCCTTTAAAACAGGTAACCGCCTTGGTTTCCACACCAGCGGCAGGAACCTCAGAGCAAAATGAGTGGAGCCCGCAGTGGCGCTGGCGGAGTTCCAGGCCCAGTGGGAGGGGTCCGGGGGGGCTAACAGCACACCGCGGCCATGACACTAACCAGGTCATTCACAGAAATCCCCGTCTCGTTCCATTCACAGTCTTAGCTCGCTTCCAGGCCGGGCAGTGAGCTGATGGCCCAAGTTCCGGAAGCTTCCGTGGTCTCCAGGTCTTTGGTCGGCTGGAGCTCGACATGGGGGAGGAGCTTCGCCCTCGGAGGCGGCTAAGAAGGCCGGGGAAATGAAGAAGGAGACGGTGGGGGCGGCGATGGCGTGTTCAGGCCAGGGAGCTGAGATGAAGCTGGAGCCATTACAGGAGCGTAAGCGCGCATCTGAGGAGAACTTCAAGTGGAGTGGGAGCAGCAGCGGCGGCAACGAGAAGGTGCTCCTTTCAACACTCCCTCGCGGTTTCAGCACATCCTCGTCCCTTTGCCTGCGCCGCAAGTCCCGCCGTCGGCTCCAGCCCCGGGCCCGGTCCAGAAGCCCGCCCAGGCCAAGGGCCCCACCCTCGCCTCCAGTCCATCCTCCCCTTCTGCCTCCGCCCCAGCCTCCCTGGCGAAGATCTCGGCGTAGATCCCGGCCTGGATCCAGGCTCCAGACCCGGCAAAGCTGTTCTGGTGACCCAGACAGCTCTGGGGATCGAGGTGGCTTAGGGGAGTGGTTGCTGGAAGTGGAGTTTGGGCAGGGTCCCAGAGGCTGCTCTCATGTGGAGAGCTGTAAAGTAGCTAAGAACTGGCAGAAGAACCCGTGGTTGATCTATCAGCGTTTCATTTGGAGTAGGATCCCTGAGACTAGGAAGTGTAAAGCAAAGTCGTGCATCTGTCATGTATGTAGTTCCCAGATGAACAGACTCCACTCTTGTCTCTCTTGTGTCTTTTTTGGCTGCTTGACTGAGAAACATATTCACAAACATGCAGAAACGAAACAGCACAATTTAGCTGTAGACCTCTGTCATGGAGTTATATATTGCTTCATGTGTAAGGATTACGTATATGACAAAGACATAGAACAGACTGCCAAGGAAGCAAAAGAGAAAATTTTGGAATTATTAACATCCACCTCAACAGATGTTTCCCAACAACAGTGTCTGACATCGGGTTGAAGAGACGCAATCAACCTGTGAGTCAAAGGAACAGGAGCTAAAATGGTGAAACCCAAGAAAAAAAGGAGAAAAAAGTCAGTTTATACTGTAGGCCTCAGCGGGCTACTCAGTCTTGGGAACACCTGCTTTATGAATTGTATTGTCCAAGCACTTACCCATATTCCTCTACTGAAAGACTTCTTCTCTGACAAGCACAAATGCATAATGACAAGTCCCAGCTTATGTCTTGTCTGTGAAATGTCTTCACTTTTTCATGCTATGTACTCTGAAAGCTGAACTCCTCACATTCCTTATAAGTTACTGCACCTGATATGGATTCATGCAGAACACTTAGCAGGGTACAGGCAGCAAGATGCCCACGAGTTCCTTATTGCAATATTAGATGTGCTGTGTAATCACAGCAAAGATGAATGTGATGGGCAGGAATTCAGTAACCCCAACTGCTGTAATGGCATCATAGACCAAATCTTTACAGGTGGCTTGCAGTCAGGTGTCACATGTCAGACTTACCATAGTGTCTCCACCACAATAGACCCATCTGGGACATCAGTTTGGATTTGCCTGGCTCTTGTGCCACATTCAGTTCCCAGAGTCCAGAGAGGGGTGACAGCATGTTGAATAGGGATGGCCACATACCAGGAATTCCCTCACTCACAGACTGCCTACAGTGCTTTACAAGGCCAGAGCACCTCAGTAGCATGCCAAAATCAAATGCAGTAGTTGCCAAAGCTACCAAGAATCTACCAAACAGCTCACAATGAAGAAATTACCTATTGTGGCCTGTTTTCATCTCAAACGATTTGACCCTGTAGGCAAACAGAGGTGAAAGATTAATATTTTATCTCCTTTTCCTTGGAAATGGACATGACTCCATTCTTGGCCTCCACTAAAGAGCACAGAATGAAAGAAGTCCAGCCACCAACAGATTGTACACCCAATCAGAATAAGTATTCCTTGTTTGCAGTGATTAATCACCATGGTACTTTGGAAAGTGAACACGACACAAGCTTTATCCGGCAACAAAAGGACCGATGTTTCAGCTGTGAGGATGCCATCATCCCCAAGGCTGCCATTGAGAACTTACTCTACAGTTAAGGGTATTTACTGTTCTAGCACAAGCAGGATATGGAGAAAGACTAATCTTAACAGACCGCTTACCAGAAAAAAGATAGTAATAAACATCTCCTCTATTTTTTCATTTAGTCAACAGATGATTTCAAAGGTTTGTTATGTGCCAGGCTTTCTTCTAAGCACCAAGAATATAGTAGTAAGCAAAAAGAAAACCTTCCTTCCCTTGGTCCCCTTTGATTCTTTTGAAGGAGACATGGTGTAAACATATATTATAAAGTGGCTAATAAAAAAAAATAAGAGCAATAAAGAAAAAAATGTCAGAAAAAGGGAAATAGAAAGAGTTTGCTTCCTTAGATGGCTGGTTTAGGGAAGGCCTCTCTGGGTGATATTCAAACTGAAAGGAAAGGAGCGACACACAACAGCAATTCACCGGAGAATTGCGCTTTATTAGGGAAAGGTGCTGGGTTATATAGGAAGGGGCATGAATTGATTGAGGTATCACTTCTACGGGGCTGGTGGCTGTTGGTTAGGTGCTGGGATTGGGAGTGGGGCGTGAGGTGATTGGGCTTCAGGTGGCGCCGGCGAGAACTGAGGATCCCGAAGAGAAGCCGGAAGTTTGCCATCTTACTGGTGGGGGCCCTTCATTCCCCCCTTTCTCCTCTAAGGGGGTGTGGACGTTGCTTTCTCTCTGACTGCTTCCTGCTGAACGGGGGCGGAGAAGGGAGTGAGGGCTTGAGGATTGGGAGGAAAGGGTTGATAGGACTCCCCACAGTAAGGATGAGTAGATGTGGACTTCTTCAGGTTGGAAATCAATGAAGGTTCCCTGTAACCATAGGTCGAAGACTTGTTGATTCCAATGGTGCCAAGAGAATATGGGTGTCAGGAGCAAGGCGTCTGCGGCCATTGTTTCCAGGAACAGTTTCCAGTGGAGAGAGGGGTCCATCTCAGCATGTGGTGAGGAGGTTACGTGAGGGTGAGGGATCTTCTGTGGCCAGAAGCTGGTAGTTCCTGAGTAAAAGCTGGTTGAAAGCTTGATTAGAGGTTTTTCCGACTTGGGGTTTGATGAACTTTATTATACAGGGTAAGAAGAGACAGGCGAGAAGAATGATTATTATGGGGCCTGCAATGGGCAGACCCAGGTAAGGAGGGGGTTTGTTAGTATTGAAGAGAATGGGTTGGAATTGGAAGCAGAGTGGAGGCTGGAGGCAAGGTTGGTGAGTTTGGTCATGTCAGTTTCTACAATGCCGGATTCGTTGATGTAATAGCAGCACTCTTCCTGGAGGAAGACGCAGGTGCCGCCCTTCTTGGCTGTAAGCAGATCTAAGGACCGCCGGTTTTGAAGGGTGACCTTAGCTAGATCTCTAACTGCCCATAGAGAGTGACCCAAGCCTCCTCCCGAAAACCCTGCCCTAATGGCTGAGGTGGTCAAAGAGATACCGACCATGATGGGAAGGAAAGCAGCCCTTTTTGTGCGCGAGGGCAAGGGAGGTTGGAGCTCAAGAAATTCTGCCATGCTGTAAAGTGTAAGCTGTGGGATTAGGGTGACGAGAATGCAGGGTGTATTGGAGTTGGGAAGCAGTGAGTTGAAAAGACTGCCACTACACCAAAAGAAGTGTCCCGTTTGCATAAAAGTCTTAGAGCCGGAGGTAGGGGTGTAGATAGAGAGGCAGTGAAGTGCGCTGGAGGGGGTTGGAGTTGAGCCTACACAGTGGTGAATGGTGAGATTATCTGCATATTCTGGTTCCCATAGGGGTATGTCTGCCATGGGGCGGAGGGGATGTCCTTCTGCATGGAAGGAGTAGTTGGAAATATTAAGGGGCATGGCAGCCAGCAGTGGGCGCTGTAGTGATGCGCACAAGAAACAATTGGCGGTGTTGAGGGTGTGGTTGAGAAAGATGGTGGTGTCTTGAATAAGCTGTAACCAACAGTAGGAGGAATAAGAAGATGAGGAAGTGCCGTCAAGAGTTTGGATAATGACTTCTTCGGAATGTCCGATATCTGATGCAACTTGAGAGATCTGGGAGTGAGAGGGAACATACTCTCGAGAGATATGAAGGGTACCGTGGGGGGTCAAGGACCCCCCGTAGTAAACTGAGGCTGTGACTCCGGTGGCCCATCGAGAGTCCCAGGGATCTGGGATTCATAAGGGGAATGAGCCGTTGGGTATTTCATGAAACGGTTGGAGGAGTAATACTGTGGGTACTGGGAGTTACCCATGTAGTGAATGGCACAAGACTAGTAGGGACATTCCCCGTAGGTGTCTTGCCATCACCTGCAATAGGCTTGGCCTTGGTCATAGAGGAAGCAGAGGTAGGGAGAATAAAGGTAGCTGCTAGTGAACACTTCAGTGGAGGGAGGAAAGTGGAGGTATAAAGGCAGAGAGCAGCCTTTCAGCGGGCAGTCTGATGTGGCAATGAGGCCAGTAACTTTTGTTTGATGCTGTGTGTAAGTCTGTCTTACTTTGAATCGCCGTACAAAGGAGGCTGGGGTTTCGGGGAAGACAATAGGAATGAGGAGAAAAAGCAAGAGAGCGGTAAAGGAGGAAAAAGTCATGATTCGGGTATGGATGGTGAAGGGGATGAACGGAATTTTGGAGGAAAGAGGACAGTAAGGTCAGGAGTCTGGAGGGAGGGAGAGTCTGTAAACTTTTGTAGGTTAAGAGATCTTTTAGGTGATGTGGGGACAGAATGGTAAGGGGTGCCCCGAATGTTAGTTTATGAGCTTCTTTCTGCAAGAGCTGCCCAGCGGCTAATGCCTGTAGGCAGGGGGCCCATCCCTGAACTGTGGGGTCTAATTGCTTGGAGAGATAAGCTACTGGGGCAAAGGATGGGCCATAATATTGGCCTAGGACTCCTAGAGCTTGACTGGACCTCTCATGAATGTATAATGAGAAGGGTTTCGACAAATCAGGGAGATGGAGAGCTGGAGCTTCTACAAGGGCTTGACGGAGCTTAATGAAGGAGTGTCGGGGTGAGGATGATAATGGTTCTTCAGGGGGTACCTTGCTGAGGTCGTATAGGGGTCTTGCCAACAGGGAGAAGTTAGGGATCCATGCTCTAAAATACCCAGCCAGGCCTAGAAAGGAAAGGATTTCTGTCTTGGTTTTGGGAACGGGCAGGTCAGAGAGGAGTCGTTCTCTGTCTAAGGTAATGGACTTTCTTTGTTGAGACAGAAGGAATCCAAGGTAAGTGACAGAAGGGGAAGAGATTTGAGCTTTGACGGGGGATACCCGGTAACCTCTGGAAGCTAGAAGGTTAAGTAGAGAGGCAGTGTCAAGTTGAGACTGTTCCCATGAGGGACTGCAGAGTAGAAGATCATCTACATATTGTAATAAAGTGGACTCGGAGTGATCATGATGAAACTGTTTGAGGTCCTGAGCTAGGACTTGTCCAAAAATATGGGGACTATCTCGGAAGCCTTGTGGCAAAACTGTCCAAGTAAGTTGTTCAGAATGTCTCGTGCAAGGGTCCCTCCAGGTGAAGGCGAAAAAGTCTTGGGAGGAGGGGTCCAGAGGGATAGAAAAAAATGTGTCCTTGAGATCTAGGACTGAGAAGTGGGATATCAAGGCAGGGATCTGCGAAAAAAGGGTGTATGGATTTGGATCTCGGGGATGGATAGGGACAACGGCCATGTTCATGAGGCGAAGGTCTTGGACAAGGCGGAAAGATCCGTTGGTTATTTTAACAGCTAATATGGGGGTATTAAATGGGGAGTGAGTGGGTCTGAGGTAATTTTTGTTTAAGAGATCTTGAATGATGGGTTGGAGGCCTATGAGGGCTGAAGTGGTTAGGGGGTATTGGGCCTGACAGATATACTGAGAGGGGTCACGTAATTTGATAGAGGCAGGGATTCATAGGGCCACGGAGGGGCTTGTAAAGTCCCAAACTTTGGGATTTACCGGGTGTATGAGGGCAGAACCGGAGCTTTCATTGGGTAGAGGGTGTCATCGGCTATGAGGGCCATCAGAAAGGGAGTACTGGGGACTGTGGGAGTGGATATAGTTATGGAAACATGGAGAAAAGAAGGGATGTCCCTTCCTAGTAAAGGGATGGGACACTGGGGCATAACCAGGAAGGAGTGGGAGAAAGGTATGGGATTGTCTTGGATTGTACATAAAAGGGGGGGGATTAGTGGGAAAATCTGTTTACCTCCTACCCCAACTATAGGAGTAATGGCAGGCATGGTAGAGCCTCGGTATTCTCGCAAGACTGAGAAGGTGGCTCCTGTATCTAGGAGGAAGGAGATGGGGCGACCGTCTACTGTGAAAGTAACCCTGGGCTCCTGTTTGGTGATGGAACTGGTTGGGCGAGAAGCCCCCGGGCCCAGTCAGTGTTCTTCTGCCAGCCCCACTACGGTGGGCTTAGGATGAGGGTTGTTTGTCCAGCCTCCCCTTCGGGTGGTTAGGCAATCAGACCCCCAGTAGCCCATTTTGTGGCATCTGGGGCATTGGGTGGTAGGAGATCTGGGGGAGGGGCACGCCCTTGACCAATGTCCCTCTTTACTGCACTTGAAACAAGCTCCTAAGGGGGGCTTGTTTGTAGAGGGGCGCCCAGGTTGTGATTTTATCAGAGCTGGGCCAACATTTGGAAATTGTCCTGATCAGCCTTTTGTTTATGGCGTTCTTTCTCCTCCTCCCAGTTATGGAAGACTTTAAAGGCCACTGTTAGGATCTCAGTCTGTGGGGTAGCAGGGCCCTGTTCTAACTTTTTGAGTTTAGCTTTAATGTCGGGGTAGCTTTGAGCTAGGAAGTATGTCATAAGGACATGTCTTCCTTCAGGTGTTTCTGGGTCCAGGCTGGTATACTGTAATAGAGCTTGAGTGAGTCTAAGAACTCAGAGGGGGTTGCGTCTCTCTTTTGAATTATGTGTTGGAGCTTTTGAAAATTGACTACTTTACGAGCTGCCTTTTTCAGACCTGCTATTAAGCAGGAGGCAAAAATATCTCTAGAGCAAAGACCCATGGCAGTGTTATAATTCCAGTGTGGGTCTTGTTCGGGAACAGCAGTGGGGCCAGGGGGATAGGTGGGGTCAGTCCTGTGGGTTTCTGTAGCGTGCGTTTGGGCGAAGTCCCAAACTCGTCTACGCTCTTCAGGGAGGAGAATATTGGCCAGGAGGATGAAAATGTCATGATGTGTGAGGCTGTAAGACTGGAGGGTCCATTGAAACTCCCTGATGTGTGTCGTGGGATCAGTGTAAAAGGAACCTAGGTGTTTCTCTAGTTGGGCTAAAACTCCTAAGGAGAAAGGGACGTGAACGCGCATGATGCCTTCAGATCCTGCTACCTCCCAGAGTGGGGGTGATAATTTTGGGAAGCCCTCGGGAC